ATTATATTCCTATTTATTCTCTGAGAAGCCTTCGCCGCCAAGCGAGAAGTATCCTCAGTAGAGCTAACTACAACAAATGTAGAATGACTCCACGGCTGCCCTCCGCCATATCATACATTCGAGGAACCAGCATTTGTCCAAGTTCAGTCAAACTAACGAGAAAGGGAGGAATTGAACCCCCATGTACTGGTTTCAAGCCAGTCACATAACCACTCTGTCACTTTCTTCTAAAGACATTAGTAAAATACGTAAATTACATCACCTTGTCAAGGTGAAATCGCAGGTTAGACCCCTGTATGCCTTAACCTAAGACTTAATGGCACACCCCACACAACTAGGATTCCAAGACGCGGCATCACCCGTTATAGAAGAACTTCTTCACTTCCATGACCACGCCCTAATAATTGTATTTTTAATTAGCACAATAGTACTCTATATTATTGTTGCAATGGTTTCAACTAAGCTTACCAATAAATATATTTTAGATTCCCAAGAAATCGAAATTGTATGAACAGTATTGCCAGCGGTAATTCTAGTTTTGATTGCTCTCCCCTCCCTTCGAATTCTGTACCTTATAGATGAAATTAACGATCCCCACTTAACAATTAAAGCCATAGGACATCAATGATATTGAAGCTATGAATATACAGACTACGAAGACCTAGGATTTGATTCATATATAGTTCCGACTCAAGACCTCACCCCAGGGCAATTTCGACTCCTAGAAACAGATCACCGAATAGTAGTCCCAATAGAGTCACCAATTCGTGTTCTAGTGTCCGCAGAAGACGTATTACACTCATGAGCCATCCCATCTCTTGGTGTAAAAATAGACGCGGTGCCTGGGCGATTAAACCAAACTGCCTTTATCGCTTCGCGCCCCGGTGTATTTTATGGACAATGCTCTGAAATCTGTGGCGCTAACCACAGCTTTATGCCTATTGTGGTTGAAGCCGTACCGCTAGAACATTTCGAAAGCTGATCCTCCTTAATACTAGAAGACGCCTCACTAGAAAGCTAATTATTGGACAAAGCGTTGGCCTTTTAAGCCAAAGTTTGGTGACTACCGACCACCTCTAGTGAAATGCCCCAACTCAACCCCAATCCCTGATTCGCGATCCTAGTATTCTCATGAATCATTTTCCTCACTATTATTCCAACCAAGGTCTTAAACCATACAGCACCTAATGAGCCGGCCCCAATAAGTGAAGAAAAACATAAAACTGAATCCTGAAACTGACCATGATAGTAAGCTTTTTTGATCAATTTGCAAGCCCATCTTTCCTGGGAATTCCACTCATCGCCGTTGCAATTGCACTACCATGAGTATTGTTCCCAACCCCATCATCTCGCTGAATAAATAGCCGACTTATTACTGTTCAAACATGATTTATTAACCGGTTTACTAATCAACTAATAATGCCTCTAAATGTAGGAGGACATAAATGAGCTCTACTATTAACCTCTCTAATACTGTTCCTTATTACTGTTAATATGCTAGGCCTTCTCCCATATACCTTTACACCTACAACACAGTTGTCGTTAAATATAGGCCTCGCCGTACCATTATGACTTGCTACAGTAATTATTGGTATGCGAAATCAACCAACAGTTGCCCTCGGGCACCTTCTACCAGAAGGAACCCCCATTCCCCTGATCCCCGTACTAATTATTATTGAGACAATTAGCCTATTCATCCGACCGCTAGCCTTAGGAGTTCGACTTACAGCCAACCTAACTGCAGGCCACCTACTAATTCAACTCATCGCCACAGCTGTGTTCGTACTACTACCTATGATACCAACGGTGGCAATCCTGACAGCCGTCGTCCTCTTTCTTTTAACACTTCTAGAAGTTGCGGTAGCAATAATTCAAGCCTACGTATTTGTATTACTCCTAAGCCTTTATCTGCAGGAGAACGTTTAATGGCCCACCAAGCGCATGCATATCATATGGTTGATCCTAGCCCATGACCACTAACCGGAGCCGTCGGTGCCCTACTAATAACGTCCGGCCTAGCAATCTGGTTTCACTTCCACTCAGTAACACTAATAACCCTCGGGTTAATTCTCTTACTTCTTACAATATTTCAATGATGACGTGATGTTATTCGAGAAGGGACCTTTCAAGGTCACCACACACCGCCTGTACAGAAGGGGCTGCGATACGGGATAATTCTCTTTATCACTTCCGAAGTGTTCTTTTTCCTGGGCTTCTTTTGAGCCTTCTATCACTCAAGCCTGGCTCCAACACCCGAACTAGGCGGGTGTTGACCCCCTACGGGAGTTATCACATTAGACCCTTTTGAAGTGCCCCTCCTCAATACAGCCGTATTATTGGCATCCGGGGTAACAGTCACATGAGCCCACCACAGTATTATAGAAGGTGAACGGAAACAAGCCATTCAATCTCTTACACTTACAATCCTGTTAGGATTTTATTTCACTGCCCTCCAGGCCATAGAATATTATGAAGCACCTTTCACAATTGCAGACGGAGTATATGGCTCGACATTTTTTGTCGCCACAGGCTTCCACGGACTACATGTCATTATCGGCTCAACCTTTTTAGCTGTCTGTCTTCTCCGACAAATTCAATACCACTTTACATCCGAGCACCATTTTGGGTTCGAGGCCGCTGCCTGGTATTGACATTTTGTTGACGTAGTATGACTATTCCTTTACGTATCAATCTATTGATGAGGCTCATATCTTTCTAGTATTAAAGTTAGTACAAGTGACTTCCAATCATTCGGTCTTGGTTAAAACCCAAGGAAAGATAATGAATTTAATTACAACTATCTTTACTATCACAGTAGCCCTGTCGTCAGTTCTGGCAATTGTATCTTTCTGACTACCACAAATGAATCCAGACGCGGAAAAGCTCTCCCCTTATGAATGCGGATTTGACCCATTAGGGTCTGCCCGACTGCCCTTCTCCCTACGATTCTTCCTGGTAGCAATTCTGTTCCTTTTATTTGATCTAGAAATTGCCCTTCTCCTTCCCCTACCCTGAGGAGATCAACTCCACAGCCCAACCGGAACATTCTTTTGAGCTACTACAGTCCTAATACTCTTAACCCTCGGATTGATTTACGAATGAACCCAAGGAGGCCTGGAATGAGCGGAATGGGGGGCTAGTCCAAAGAAGACCTCTGATTTCGGCTCAGAAAATTGTGGTTTAAGTCCACGGCCCCCTTATGACACCAGTACACTTTAGCTTTAGCTCAGCCTTTATTTTAGGGCTTATAGGATTGGCGTTTCATCGCACGCATCTACTTTCCGCATTACTATGTTTGGAAGGAATAATACTGTCCCTATTTATTGCATTAGCCTTATGAACATTACAGTTTGAATCAACAAGCTTCTCTACCGCCCCTATACTGCTACTGGCCTTCTCCGCTTGTGAAGCGAGCACAGGCCTTGCACTCTTGGTAGCCACAGCCCGGACCCACGGCACTGACCGTTTGCAAAACCTTAATCTGCTACAATGCTAAAGGTGCTAATTCCCACAATCATAATATTCCCAACGATCTGACTGACCTCCCCCAAATGATTATGAACAGCCACAACTACTCACGGTCTTTCAATTGCCCTTATTAGTCTCACATGACTTAAATGAACATCAGAAACCGGGTGAACTATGTCCAACACATATTTAGCCACAGACCCCCTCTCTACACCCCTTCTAGTCTTGACATGCTGACTTCTACCCTTAATAATTCTAGCCAGCCAAAATCACATCAACCTTGAGCCAGTCAGCCGGCAGCGTCTATATATTACACTTTTAACCTCACTCCAAACTTTCCTAATCATGGCTTTCGGCGCCACAGAAATCATCATGTTCTATATTATATTTGAAGCCACGCTGATCCCGACCCTTATTATTATTACCCGGTGAGGAAATCAGACTGAACGCCTCAGCGCAGGTACCTACTTTCTGTTTTACACCCTCGCGGGGTCCCTCCCACTTTTGGTGGCCCTACTTCTACTACAACAGTCTACGGGGACTCTGTCTCTATTAGTTATCCAATATACCCAGCCATTGTTACTAAACTCCTGGGGCCATAAGATCTGATGAGCGGGTTGCTTAATCGCCTTTTTAGTGAAAATACCCCTGTACGGGGTGCACCTATGACTACCAAAGGCGCACGTAGAAGCCCCCGTTGCAGGGTCTATAGTACTAGCAGCAATTCTGCTAAAACTGGGCGGGTACGGGATAATGCGAATAATAATTATATTAAACCCACTCTCTAAAGAACTAATTTATCCATTTATTATTCTAGCACTCTGGGGCATCATCATGACCGGCTCTATTTGCCTACGACAAACCGACCTCAAGTCACTAATCGCCTATTCCTCTGTTAGCCATATAGGGCTTGTAGCGGGGGGCATTCTAATTCAAACCCCCTGAGGGTTTTCAGGAGCAATCATTCTAATGATTGCCCACGGATTAGTCTCCTCTATACTATTCTGTCTAGCTAATACAGCTTATGAACGGACCCATAGTCGAACTATAGTCCTTGCTCGAGGATTACAAGTAGTCTTCCCACTGACGGCAGTATGATGATTTATTGCGAACTTGGCCAACTTAGCATTACCCCCACTTCCTAATCTAATAGGAGAACTTATAATTATTACAACTCTATTTAACTGGTCCCCCTGAACCATTGCACTCACCGGGCTGGGAACATTAATTACCGCGGCCTACTCCCTCTATATGTTCTTGATATCGCAACGCGGGCCAGCACCAAACCATATCATAAACCTCGCACCATTCCACACCCGAGAACATCTATTGATAGCCCTTCACCTTATCCCAGTAATTCTCCTTGTAGCAAAGCCAGAACTCATGTGAGGGTGATGTTACTGTAAGTATAGTTTAACCAAGATATCAGATTGTGATTCTGAAGACAGGGGTTAAAGCCCCCTTACTCACCAAAGAAGGACAGAAATCAGTAAGTACTGCTAATACTTATGCACCGAGGCTAAAATCCTCGGCTTCTTTACGCTTCTGAAGGATAACAGCTCATCCGTTGGTCTTAGGAACCAAAAACTCTTGGTGCAAATCCAAGCGGAAGCTATGACCCCAACAGCCTTAGCCATATCATCCTCATTCATTTTAATCATTACAGTTCTTGTTCTCCCGCTACTCACAACGCTAAGTCCTAGCCCTTTAAAATTAGAATGGGCAGCCACGCACGTTAAAACTGCCGTCAGCACTGCATTCTTCATTAGCCTATTACCGCTTATAATTTTCCTGGACCAAGGGGTGGAGACTATTACTACGAACTGACAGTGAATAAATACGCAAGTATTTGACGCGAACATCAGCTTTAAATTTGACCACTACTCCCTTATTTTCACCCCAATTGCCCTTTACGTAACATGATCAATCTTAGAGTTTGCACTATGATATATACACTCCGACCCTAACGTTAACCGGTTCTTCAAATACTTACTCTTGTTTCTGGTGGCCATAATTATTCTCGTTACAGCAAACAACATATTTCAACTATTTATTGGCTGGGAAGGAGTTGGCATTATATCCTTCCTACTCATCGGCTGATGACATGGGCGAGCAGATGCCAATACAGCAGGCCTCCAAGCAGTTATCTATAACCGTGTTGGAGATATTGGGCTAATCTTCGCTATGGCCTGATTCGCAATAAATCTAAATTCTTGAGAGATTCAACAAATTTTCTCTTTATCAAATAGCTTTGACATAACAACTCCCTTGATTGGACTCATCCTTGCCGCAGCGGGAAAGTCGGCCCAGTTTGGCCTGCACCCATGACTCCCATCAGCCATAGAGGGCCCGACGCCGGTATCAGCGCTACTTCACTCCAGCACCATAGTAGTTGCAGGCATCTTCTTATTGATTCGCCTTCATCCACTTATAGAAAATAATAAGCTGGCACTAACGATTTGTCTGTGTCTAGGAGCATTAACCACCTTATATACAGCCACCTGCGCCCTAACACAAAATGACATCAAGAAAATTGTCGCCTTCTCAACATCAAGTCAGCTCGGATTAATAATAGTTGCAATCGGGCTAAACCAGCCACAGTTAGCATTTCTTCATATCTGCACACACGCATTCTTCAAGGCCATACTTTTCCTATGCTCTGGGTCTATTATTCATAGCCTGAATGACGAACAAGATATTCGCAAAATAGGGGGCCTTCATAAACTTATGCCTGCCACCTCAGCCTATCTTACGGTAGGAAGCCTAGCATTAACAGGCACTCCATTCCTTGCCGGATTCTTCTCAAAGGATGCTATCATTGAAGCCCTAAACACCTCCTACCTAAACGCCTGGGCCCTAACTTTAACACTGATTGCCACGTCCTTCACTGCAGTTTACAGCTTCCGAGTCGTATATTTTGTTACTATGGGATCCCCACGATTCCTTCCATTATCCCCCATCAATGAGAACAACCCATCAGTCATCAACCCAATCAAACGACTTGCCTGAGGAAGCATTGTTGCAGGACTTATTATCACGTCTAACTTCCTACCCTTAAAAACATCCACCATGACAATGCCTGCTACCCTAAAAATAGCAGCCCTTATCGTGACTGTTATTGGACTTCTAGTGGCTATAGAACTCGCAGCTACGGCCAACAACCCAGCTAAAACTGCCTATAAAGCCTCTGCACACCATTTTTCGAGTATACTCGGGTACTTCCCTGCATTAATACACCGACTCTCCCCCAAAGCCAGCCTGGTCCTCGGACAATCAGCTGCCACTAAACTGGACCAAACCTGACTTCAAACTACAGGCCCAAAAGGGATAGCACTCACACAAATAATAGTAGCAAAAATAATAAGCGATATCTCACGAGGAACAATTAAAACATATTTAACCATCTTCCTTTTAACCATGGCCTTGGCGGTTCTTCTAGCCCTTATTTAAACCGCTCGAAGTGTCCCGCGACTTAGACCCCGAGTCAGCTCCAACACCACAAGTAGAGTTAAAAGTAGTACCCAAGCACAAATAACTAACATAGCCCCCCCTAAAGAATATATTATGGCCACACCCCCAACATCCCCCCGTAGTATAGACAACTCCTTCAGCCCATCAATGACTACCCAAGAGCCCTCATATCACTCCCCTCAAAATAGTCCAGCCGTCACCACAACACCCGACAGATAAATCAGAACATATCCAGCCACTGAACGACTTCCCCAGGCCTCTGGAAAAGGCTCAGCAGCTAACGCTGCCGAATAAGCAAACACCACAAGCATTCCCCCTAAATAGATTAAGAAAAGAACTAAGGATAAAAAGGACCCACCACAGCCAACCAACACCCCGCACCCAACCCCCGCTGCCACTACCAATCCTAAGGCAGCAAAATAAGGCGTGGGATTAGACGCAACAGCAATCAATCCTACAATCAAAGCTATCAATAGTAAAAACACGAAATAGGTCATAATTCCCGCTCAGACTTTAACCGAGACCAGTGACTTGAAGAAACACCGTTGTCATTCAACTACAGGAACAATAATGGCAAGCCTACGAAAAACCCACCCGCTAATAAAAATCGCTAACGATGCACTAGTTGACCTTCCAACCCCATCTAATATTTCAGCACTATGGAACTTCGGATCCCTCCTAGGATTATGCTTAATTACTCAAATCCTGACAGGACTATTCCTGGCCATACATTATACTTCCGATATCTCAACGGCCTTTTCATCAGTAACACATATCTGCCGAGACGTAAACTATGGCTGACTCATCCGAAACATACATGCTAACGGAGCATCGTTCTTCTTTATCTGTATTTACATACACATTGCCCGCGGACTGTACTATGGGTCATACCTCTATAAAGAGACCTGAAGTATTGGCGTAGTTCTACTCCTTTTAGTTATGATGACGGCTTTTGTAGGCTATGTACTGCCCTGAGGGCAAATATCTTTTTGAGGTGCCACCGTAATTACAAATCTACTATCAGCAGTCCCCTATATGGGCGACGCCCTTGTCCAGTGGATTTGAGGCGGCTTTTCCGTAGATAACGCAACATTAACGCGATTCTTCGCCTTCCACTTCCTATTTCCATTCGTTATCGCCGGTGCAACAGTCCTACATTTGCTATTTTTACACGAAACGGGATCAAACAACCCTGCCGGATTAAACTCCGACGCGGATAAAATCTCTTTCCACCCATACTTCTCATACAAGGACCTCCTTGGCTTTGTATTAATATTATTAGCTCTCACATCCCTAACATTATTCTCCCCAACACTGCTCGGCGACCCAGAAAATTTTACCCCAGCAAACCCTCTGGTCACCCCACCGCACATCCAACCGGAGTGGTACTTCCTGTTCGCCTACGCCATTCTACGATCTATTCCAAACAAGCTAGGAGGGGTCCTAGCACTATTATTTAGCATCCTAGTACTATTAGTAGTGCCAATTTTACACACCTCAAAGCAACGAGGACTAACTTTCCGTCCAATCACCCAATTCTTATTCTGAACCTTAGTGGCGGACATAATCATTTTAACATGAATTGGAGGCATACCCGTAGAACACCCATATATCATCATTGGCCAAATCGCGTCGGTGCTATACTTCGCACTCTTCCTTGTTCTCGCCCCCCTCGCAGGGTGAGCCGAGAATAAAGCATTGAAATGAGCTTGCCCTAGTAGCTTAGCTTGAAAGCACCGGTCTTGTAATCCGAAGATCGAGGGTTAAACCCCCTCCTAGCGCCCAGAAAAAGGAGATTCTAACTCCCACCCCTGGCTCCCAAAGCCAGAATTCTAAATTAAACTATCTTCTGATAGTAACCTATATGGTCCGGTACCGCGTGTAGCATTACATGCGTATAGTACATATATATGGTCTAACACACACATAATATTATTCGTAATATTGTGTGTGTTGTGTTAGTGCATATATATGTATTATCACCATTCATTTATCTTAACCTAAAAGCAAGTACTAACGTCCAAGACGTACATAGACCAAATCGTTAAAACTCACAAATAATTTATTCTAACCTGGGAACTATATTATTCCCCTAGATTCGGCACTCAACACTTTCCTTGAAATAAACACCTAAGGTTTAACGTAACCATATTAATGTAGTAAGAGACCACCAACCGGTTCATATAAGGCATCTTATGCATGATAGAATCAGGGACACAATACGTGGGGGTTGCACACTGTGAACTATTCCTTGCATCTGGTTCCTATTTCAGGTCCATATTTATAAGACTCCACCCTCGGATAATTATACTGGCATCTGATTAATGGTGTAATTGCATACTCCTCGTTACCCAACATGCCGGGCGTTCTTTTATATGCATAGGGGTTCTCTTTTTTGGTTTCCTTTCACTTTACATCTCAGAGTGCAGGCACAAGTAACATCTCAAGGTGGTACTCTTCCTTGCCCGAATTAAACTAGGTTCATCATTGAAAGACATAACTTAAGAATTACATTTTATTCTATCAAGTGCATAACATATACATCCTTTCTTCAACTTACCCTGATATATACGCCCCCTCTTTTGGTTTTCACGCGACAAACCCCCTTACCCCCTACGCTCAGCAAATCCTGTTCTCCTTGTCAAACCCCGAAACCAAGGAAGGTTCGAGAACGTGCGGGCTAACAAGTTGAGATATCCATTAGCCATCCGCATTATATATATATATATATACATGTCATATCGACCCCCCTAAAAATTTTCTCAAATATAGCCCAAAAAATTCTACTAAATTTGTTAGTAAATTTCTCAATGCTAAAAAATCCAACATATTTAATCGCTAGCGTAGCTTAATACAAAGCATAACACTGAAGATGTTAAGATGGGCCCTGAGAAGCTCCGCATGCACAAAGGCATGGTCCTGACCTTATTATCAGCTCTAGCCCAACTTACACATGCAAGTCTCCGCAGCCCCGTGAGTACGCCCTTAATCCCCTGCCCGGGGACGAGGAGCAGGCATCAGGCACAAACCGTTAGCCCAAGACGCCTGGCCTAGCCACACCCCCAAGGGAATTCAGCAGTGATAAATATTAAGCCATAAGTGAAAACTTGACTCAGTCAGGGTTGAGAGGGCCGGTAAAACTCGTGCCAGCCACCGCGGTTAAACGAGAGGCCCTAGTTGATAATACAACGGCGTAAAGGGTGGTTAAGGACAGTGAAATAATAAAGTCGAATGGCCCTTTGGCTGTCATACGCTTCTAGGAGTCCGAAGCCCGATATACGAAAGTAGCTTTAGAAAAGCCCACCTGACCCCACGAAAGCTGAGAAACAAACTGGGATTAGATACCCCACTATGCTCAGCCATAAACCCAGACGTCCAACTACAATTAGGCGTCCGCCCGGGTACTACGAGCATTAGCTTGAAACCCAAAGGACCTGACGGTGCCTCAGACCCCCCTAGAGGAGCCTGTTCTAGAACCGATAACCCCCGTTAAACCTCACCACTTCTAGCCACCCCAGCCTATATACCGCCGTCGTCAGCTTACCCTGTGAAGGCAATAAAAGTAAGCAAAATGGGCACAACCCAGAACGTCAGGTCGAGGTGTAGCGTACGAAGCGGGAAGAAATGGGCTACATTTTCTATTATAGAACACTACGGACATGCAACATGAAATAGTGCTTGAAGGAGGATTTAGTAGTAAAAAGGAAGCAGCGTGTCCTTTTGAACTCGGCTCTGAGACGCGTACACACCGCCCGTCACTCTCCCCTGTCAAAATGCAGTAAAGCTACCTAACACCAGAGCGGTGACAAGGGGAGGCAAGTCGTAACATGGTAAGTGTACCGGAAGGTGCACTTGGATTAAATTCAGGGCGTGGCTGAGTTAGCCAAGCATCTCACTTACACCGAGAAGACATCCATGCAAATTGGATCACCCTGAGCTAACCAGCTAGCTTAACTACTAATATAATTCAACTTTATTCATAACAAAACAAGACCCAACGCCACAAACTAAACCATTTTTTTACCTGAGTATGGGAGACAGAAAAGGTTCAGCTCAAAGCAATAGAGACAGTACCGCAAGGGAAAGCTGAAAGAGAAATGAAACAACCCATATAAGCACTGAAAAACAAAGACTAGACCTTGTACCTTTTGCATCATGATTTAGCCAGTACCATCGAGCGAAGAGACCTTTAGTTTGATACCCCGAAACCAGGTGAGCTACCCCGAGACAGCCTATGTAATTTAGGGCTAACCCGTCTCTGTGGCAAAAGAGTGGGAAGAGCTCCGGGTAGAAGTGACAGACCTACCGAACCTGGTGATAGCTGGTTGCCTGAGAGATGGATAGAAGTTCAGCCTCGCACCCCCCAAATCAAAACAAATATCATCAAGATACTTTAAGGGAAAGTGTGAGAGTTAGTTGAAGGGGGTACAGCCCCTTCAACAAAGGATACAACCTTCGCAGGCGGATAAAGATCATAATATATAAGACACACTGTTCTAGTGGGCCTGAAAGCAGCCACCTAAGCAGAAAGCGTTAAA